AGAAAATGGAGGAACGGGTGCTGCAGTCAGACCTGTGTGAATGGACTACAGTGATATCTGGGAGAACTCGGAGAAGATTTATCTGTTATCTGCAGCCCTGATTTCGGGCTGTAAGCCACGGTACAAATTATATACTTTAAAACAGTAATGTTGCTAGTGTATGCGCACCAATTCCCATTAAACGTGTAAATGATTGCATATAACTTCACACAAAATTATGTTCTTTTTAAATAGAAGTCCAAGTAGTTTAGCTACTTCTTATATGGTAAAATTGCAAGGTATAGAGAAAATTGTCAGCAAACTTTTACTTCTTTAAAATGTATAGAACAGTTCCAAGGTTACTGAAGTGGTGGTGCTTGGGTGCTTTGCTGAAGTCTGATAATCTCACTTGTGCAACTCTTGGCACGTGGTATTCTTTCCTTAAGAGTATTTCAGACTGCCTAGGAAAAAAATGCTCCAATGTTCCTCTCTAGTCAAGCAGTTTCAGTTCAGGAAACAACATATATAGCATTACCAACTCTTGCAAAGTCCTCATGAGTGACAGGACTTTGGCCAGGGCTTGACTGGTTTCCTTCTCAGTGCCTACAGCAGGCCAGCCCGTCCATGAGAAAAACGCTTGGATGGATGGTGGTCTTCATTGCTCTCACTGCTGGGGTCAAAGCAGCCAGTGATGCTGCCAAGGAGGAAAACACAGCTCCTCTTCAACCCTCAGGCAGACCAACACTTCACTCATGTGGGGCGCAAGAAGGACCCAGCAGCCCAAAGTGGCTTCATTCTCCTTTCTGTTACATGAGTAAGGGCATGAGTTCCTTTGTGTAACCCTTCTCCTCTTCTCGAGCATTGAGTGGAGGGCGAGGAAGGGAGAAGAAGCACAGGTACAGAGACCTGAAGCAGCTGCCTGCTCCTCCAGCTCTGGCTGAGCCTGGCAGCACTCATTTGACTCTCAAACTGTGCGAGCTGTGCACGTGCACCAAAGAAAGTCTTTCTCCAAGACACCTTGCCTTCGTACAATCTAGGCATTAGGCAATTCAGGCACACTAAACAGAACACACGCAAGCAATTTTTAAAGGTGTAACTATACCTTTGTCTCTCCACGAGTCTAAAAAAGAAAATGAAGCAACAGCCATAACTGACATAAATCCAAATTCTTCTTTTGCACACAGTGTAAAAGCTTATGTTGTGCTGCTACTGAGAATCAGCTGACTTTACATCTTGCTATCTCTGAACAATCTCAGTATTATTTTCCATTTAAGTCTTTCATTTTTTCATGTGCTGCTGACAAGCCACTTTCTAGCCTCCTACACTTCTGGGACGTCTCACAGCCTTCACTAGCACAGATCAATTGCAATCATGAAGCTACGTTTACTGACAGCGTGACAACAACAGACACTTTCCTGTTATTGACTGTTGTCAGATGTAGTAATTTATATATTTGAATAGATTTAAACAAAAGTAGCAACTTCAACATTTGTTTTTTATTCATTTTGGACAACTGCTATGTGGTATTGTGTTACCCATTCAGTTATCGGAAAGACAAAATAAAAGCAGTAGTTGAACCCAGCCTCTCATTGTCCAGTTTTCAGAGGAAACATCCTTTGAATATCTGAACCGACATCCACAGGAGCAGCAGCCAAGCTGAACGCTCAGGGGCCACTGTTCTCCTCAGTCGGGTGAGCTGGGGGCCAGGCCAGTGCAGCCGTGCTTGCCCTGTACTACAGCTGATGTAGCAAATCATGCTAGACTGAAAAGTAAGCTTAATGCCTTCCCCCAGAAACACCTGGTTTAGTTGGTCTGCTGGGTGGCTGGACACAGCCATTTTGAAAGCTAGGTCTTCAAGCTGTTAACTGGCCACCACTGATTTCCAATATTCCTTAAAACATTGCAAAAATATTTTTATGTTTTTGCTGTTATACTGCTAAACTTTAGCATGCCAAAACCAATGTATAAGTGATAGCTATTACTCTGAATTATCACACTTGAGTGGCTGTTTGACAGCTTACTTGACACACAGTAATGTTGGCTGTGTGCTCTTAAATATTCTTATGCTCCATTTTGTGCTATCCTAAGAGGCCCGGCCCAAGCCCTACTCCTCCACTTCCATCCTGCTGCCCATGTCCAGCCTCAAAGCTACAGCAGGGCCTCTGCTCGTGCAGTGGAGGAGGACTGTCGCAAAAGCAGGTAGCAGCTGGCAGCAAGAAAAAAATCTCGATGGCTCCAGCTCTGGTTTGTGCTGCATGCTCTGCCACCAGCGTGAAATGCCCCAGGCACAAATCCTGGCCTGACAGTGAGCTCAGCTCGGGTGGGGAGCAACAAATAATAAAAAGCAAAAACCAGTTGACTTTCATCTCCCTAATGATTTCCTGAACTCTTACTTGCTCAAAAGCCTTAACAGTATTGTAGCACGTGATGGTATACAGCAACATGGTTTATGGTTCAGGGTCATGAAAAGACTCATTGGATGGTGTTCAAACTATCTGGAACTAATACTAGATTCTGCTACACTTGACTGTTGAGAGTTACGGAAATGTTTAACATTGTCAGGATAATCTTTATTTGCTAAATCTCAGTGTTATGCATGAAGCCTTCTCTCTTACTGCACACTCCAAAAAAGTCAATGGGAATCTTTTCATTGATTCAAGGGGTTTTTGATTAGGCTACTGGTCACATAAACAACTTCTCAGATTACATCAACTGAATTTAACCTCAGGCTTTGCCGATCCCCATTTTTCCCGTCTTTTAATGACTAACATTTTAGACTTATTTCTTAAAGATTTATCATCTTGGGATAATGTAGTTAACTCGAAGGGTTGTATACACAAATGAATACTTTAAGAAGAAAGACCAAAAATAACCTGTACATAAACTTGTTGAAGCCAGTAAAGAAATTTGTCAAAACTGATTTTATATATCTGAGCTTCTTTTAAATCCAGGAATATAAAGCAAAATAGTATTATACAAACACTTGCACAGAAAGCGTGAGTACGGCCTAAATGCTACATCCCAATCTTATTCTGAAAGTCCATGAACAACTGCCATTTTGGCGACTTCTCCAGTTTTTTCTCTGCCTCCCTCTGCCTTTTTCTGTTGTTGACTGTTAGAAGACAACACTTGGTCATATCTCTTTGCCTGGCTACGTTGGGTAGAATCAGAGTGCTACAAGAAACACCAGTTTCATTATTATTCAGTGGCTTCAGTTTGTCACTGTGTAAAACAGTATAATCAGACTTGCTTCTAAATGCAGGTACAAGATTCAAATTTAGAATGCTTGAGCATTTCTGAGAGACAGAGTAAGCCTTCATTTCCATCCATATTTTGTTGTCTTAAAGCAGTGCTATAAGTATTCAGAATCTTGGAGAAAGGTTCCAATTTGCAGGCCAAGCCTACCATGCCAATTTTGGCCAGTTATTGCAAGTCCAATTTAAAGTGCAATGAAAAAAAAAAAATCACAAGATATTTCAATTGAAAACACGAGGTTTGTACGTTAAAACCTTTGAGTATTAAGAATCCACATTGGGCCATGCCCAGAAATCTTTTTATATGGTGATTTTCAAGATGCATGCATTATTGTGAGCACATGGTATGTAAATGCATTGGGCTGCTTAATAAGCATTCACTGACACACATCTGCAGCTTTGCTAATGCACCTTTTATTCGTATGTGGTTGCCAAGGAAACAGGTTATGGCCCAGTATTCTACCTAAAATATACTGAGCAAGTGTTCTGTGATAATTTACCTAAAAGAGGTACAACTTGGATTTTGTAGCCCATTGCTTCTGTAAGTCCAGGTAACCTGAATTTATCTAATTTTAATGTTTTGCTGATTAGTTTAAACCACCAGTGCCATCTTATTGTCTCTGAAAATCCATTACCATTTTATATGCCATACAACATTGTGTATTAAAAGTAAATTTAAATGCAGAAAACATTTTGAGATATTGTAGGAATTCCAGAGTGTTTTTTTTTTGTTTTAAATTTGGTT